ATGACAGATTGGAGTAATTTATCAATCTGCACCAGTTTACTGTAGAGCTTTTTGTTTTTCACAGGAAGTTCATGAAGAAATAGACCACTCATTATGACCACTAATTAGAACCACTCATCTTACCAGGACCTCTCATCAGAACCACTCATCAGGACCATTCTCCAGAACCACTCATTAGGACCTCTTATCTTACCAGGACCACTCATCAGAACCACTCATTAGGACTACTCATTAGGACTACTCATCAGGACCACTCAACAGAACCATTAGGACCTCTCATCTTACCAGGACCACTCATCTCATCAGGACCTCTCATCTAACCAGGACCACTCATCTCATCAGGACCTCTCATCTTACCAGGACCACTCATTAGGACCACTCATCTTACCAGGACCACTCATCAGAACCAATCATTAGGACCACGTATCAGGACCACTCAACAGAACCACTCAACAGGACCACTCATCAGAACCACTCATTAGGAACTCTCATCTTATCAGGACCACTCACCAGTTTCCTCTTGAGAAGCGGTGTTCCTTCTGGAGTTGGAGGCTCTTCTGTTGTCGTTTCTCCAAAGTCCCCGAGACCCCCAGGAGTGTTAAAACCAGGCTGACGCCCACCTTCTCCTTCCTCTCCATCCTCCTCCTCTTCTCCTTCCCCAACAGTGTCCAACAGGTCCGTCCCTCCGTCTGCTTCCTGGACTTCTCGAGCTCCTGGTTCAGGTGGCAGATCTGCGTGGACTTCATCTTGTGTGGGATCTGGCATGCTGGCTAAAATCTCTGTGACGGTCATCTTCTTGGCCCCCTCCACCAAGCCCCCGCCGAACAGCGCCTTCCAGATGAGCGTGAAGAAGCCCTTACAGATGTTGTAGACAAACATGAGGATGCCCATCAGGACGGTGTAGACGAACGTCACCAGGCTGACCACCATCTCCTTCACGGTCATCTTCCTCAGTTTGCGGTATCGGCGCCGCAGGTTGCGGAAGGTGAACATGTTGAAGAAGTCCATCACGCTCTTCAGGAACTCGGCGAAGGCGGAGGTCGACTCCGGAACCTCGCCCTCTTCGTTCCCTTCCTCGCCTTCTCCAGCTTCTCCTTCGTCTCCACCGCCCTCCTCCTCCTCGTCTTCCTCCTCCTCCCCGTCTCCCTCGGGCTCAGAGATGGAAGCGGCGATGTTCATCTCAAAGATGGTGTCCTCGCAGAAGTTCACGAACATCTCCATCTTCTCGCTCTCGCCGCCCTCGTTGACCACGTCGAAGATGAACTGCCGTTTGGACTCTCGGACCTGCGGCATCTCCCACTGGTTGCGGTTGGCCTCGCTGATCTCAAAGTAGATGCGCTCGATTTTCCGGCTGGCTCCCATGATCTCGATGCGCCCGAGGAAAGGCCGGAAGTAGTTGAGAACGCTCTCGGCCTGCTCCAGGAAGTTCTGGAGCCGGGTGTCGTGGGGAACGTGCTCGGACAGGTTCGTGAGCAGGACGGCGATGTTGAAGCCGATGTCCTTGGCCGGCTCCTGGAAGCGGTCGGCGAACTCCTCAATGTTGATCATTTCGTTTTCGTCGGCCTCGGAGCAGGAGAGCAGGAACTGGATCTCTGACGGGGAGTACTGCTTCTGGCTGTCCATGGCTTTGGAGAAGTCCTTCTTGGAAATGAGTCCACGTGGATCCGTCACGTAGTCCCTGAAGGCGTCAGACGCCACGATGTCTTTGAGCTTGAGGAACATGTCGAAGAACTTGAGGATCATCTCCACGTTGCTCGAGGACTCCACCAGCATGTCCACCATCTGCCTGGCAATGGTGCCGTTGACAATATTGCCTGAAAGCAGCACAGGAAACAAAAACATCGCAGCCAGGTCTTCACACACAAAAAAAGAGAGGACTTCAGCTGCGAGATCTCACCTTCAAGCAGGGACAGAAGCATCACAACCATGTCCTTCTGGAGGTCCAAGAGTTCCTTCAACAGTCCAATTTGACTGGAATCCTACAACAAAAACCTGTTTCCTTTTATCCCTTTACAAGTTGAAGAGTAAACTTTTACAACTCCAGTTCCAAAAGGTTACATTTTTGTGTAAAATGTAAATATCCTTCTAACAGTCTGTAAACGTCTGGAACTGAGACCAGTTCTGGAGGTTTTGGAAGGAACATGATCACATTTTGATCTAATCATCTGGACGGGAGCAGATGTTTTAAAACATATGCTAATGCACCCCTATACCATCAGAGAAGCAGGCTGGGAGGAAGTTATTGGCGTTTTTAGAAAATGTTCAAAATTAGATGCCTGAATAATACGCTCCGAGTCTAATTAAAATATCTTCTAACTGCTGCTACGTGTCCTTACCAAACCACACCTAGTCCYACCCCTAGAGGCTGCTCCTCTTATGTCAGCATTAGAATGTAAACAACGTCATGTTTATCCTGCGTTAGGGAGACACATATTAACCAGAGAAATGCTCTGGTTGTGTGCTGTAAGAAATGTAAAATGAGCAGGAAAAAAAACATAAAAGTACAAAAAAACTCACAATTTCTTGTAAAACAGCCAAAATGTGCAGTAAAACAGCTAGAATGCAGCTGTAATTTCTTAATTTAGCATAAGAAAGCATAAGAAGCACAGGTTTGCTGAACTAAGCAGAAAGAAGCTGAAATAATTACCAAAATGTAAAGTTAGCTTCAAAAAGCTAACTTTAGTTAATAATAGTTGAACATTAGTTAAAATTGCAGCAAATAGTTGAATATAGCAGAAAGCAACTGTAAGAAGCAGAAATAGCTCAAATTAGTGGAAAGAAGCTAAAAGGTAGAAAATAGAAGAAGAATAGCAGAAATGAGCAAAATTATAGCTGAAATAGCAGAAAAAAGCTAAAACTAGCAAAAAATAAGATAAAATTAGCACAAGGAAGTCAAAAAGAGCAGAACCAGAACAAAATGTGCAAGGTGCTGAAAAGATTTAGAAACATTTTGAAGAATTTTAAGGATGTTGAAAACAGGTCCATTCATTTCAATGGGAAAAATGAGGCAGAAAATATTGAAATAGCTAAAAAAGTATAAATAGCTGAAACACCGACGGTCATATTCAGAATGTTCTGAAGGAGATGAATGTTTTGATATATGAATTGCTAAAATAGCACAAAAATTGCAGAATGAGATTCATGCCAAAAACCGTACGGAAGAAAAACCGATCTAAATAGTGAGAATGATTGTGAATCGTTCACACACAATGATCCTAGTCCCGTAAATGACTGTAATCTCAAATTATAAAATATAAGACTAAAATTCAGTTCTTCAGTCACAACATTTTCCTTCAGCATCATTTACATTTTACACAAGATCTCAACTTTAATGGAACTGGGTTGTACTTCTGAGACGTAAGCAAAAAGACACTACCTCTGAGGGAGTTCTACTCCAAAAGTGATCCTGGGTTTGCATTCAGACATAAAGAGTTTTTATTTTTAACGTGACAAAAACTCAAAGGTAATACGACGAGAGGAGAGAAGGACAACACAAATAAGAGCATCAACGTATTAAAGCCTTTATAAATAACACTGCAGGATGGAAGGAGTCAACAGATTTCTCAGACGCTGATGGGAGCCACAAATTGTTTCAACAGAAGCTTTCAGATCGGGATAAACCAGCATCAACTGCCGGAGAAATCACAATCTTATATCTGAAACTGAGCAACAGACATGGCAGCTGAATGAGGAGCAGAAAGGCAGAAAAAACTCCCCACAAAGATTCAGTTTTCAAACTGGAAACATGAAGAGTGGGAAAAGAGGAGGATGTAGATGACGGTGCTCTTAAAGAAGCGTATTTTAACCGAAGCATGAAGTGATCAGAAATGAAACTCTGAGTCTTACGCCGTCTCTTTGTCCCGGATCAGGGTGCATCTTGGAGGATTACACAGGAAAATAAAAACAGGGTTTAATCAACATTTTCACTTCACTTTGATTAAACCCTCAGGTGTACAACTTAAGTGTCAGTTCAATAAAGATAACGGTTTTTATTTCATTTATTTTATAAAAAACAAAAAGAACTCCAGCTGACTTTGCTTCAGCTTAAGATTACCACAATAAAACCTTGAAAATCCAAGAAGCCTTTTTGTAATTAATTTATATAAAAACATCTAAAAATCAATAAATCCCTACATTTTAGTTTTTGTATGTTTGTGTTAAAACTGAAACAGCTCTCAGGGTGTGCAATGATTTGCTTTTAACCGTTGATTCTGGTGCTTCTGCTGTCTTAATTCTTGATCTCACTGCTGCCTTTAACACTGTGGATTATGAAGTTTTATTATCACGTTTAGAACCGTCTGTTGGTGTGAAAGTTTTGGCTCCTAAATGGTTTGAGTCCTACTTGTCTGAAAAGAGTTTTTCTGTTTAAGATGCAGAGTTTTCTTTCACAGAGGCTCCTCTTAAATGTGGGGTACCTCAAGGCTCCATACTGGGTCCCATTTTATTTTCTCTTTATTTTCTTCCACTGGGGTCCATTTTCAAGAAATATAATGTGTCATTTCATTTTTATGCAGATGACATTCAGACTTATTTACTGGTGGACCTCAGTGTAGGAAGAATTTGAAGAATTGTTTAAAAGACGTTCAAAGATTGACAGAGCTAAACTTCTTTTGGCTAAATGAAAATAAAAGAGGTCATTGGGTTTGGCAGAACTGACCTACTGGTAGGATTTAACAGTGCTGTTGGCTCCTGGGACTCAGACTGTCACTTTATTGGGAATCTTGCGGTTATTTTTGACAATAGCTTCAAATTTGACAGACAGGTCAGTGTCTGTGTTTTTATCATTAAAGTCAAGCCTCATCTTCCCCTTGATACACTTGAGAGGGTTATTTATGGTTTAATTTTCTCCAGACTGGATTATTGAAACTCTCTTTACAGTGGGATTGATCAGTCTCTGCTCCACCGTCTTCAGGTGATCCAAAATCCAGCTGCTCGTTTCTTAACGGGGGCCAGACAATGTGAGAACATTACCCCTGTAGTGCATTCACTTCACTGACTGCCTGTTTCCTTTAGGTCTGTTTTAAAAGTTTTACTCTTAGTTTTTGAATGTTTAAATGGTCTGGCTCCTGTTTACCTTTCTGAGCTCCTACACAGTTATCATCCTAGTAGAGCCCTGAGGTCTGAAGATCAGATGCTCTTGGTGGGTCCTAGGACTTGACTAAAGAGGACAGAGCCTTCTCAGATCTAGCTCCTAAACTCTGGAACAGTCTCCCTCTTTCTGTGAGATCTGTCAGAACACTAAATGAATTTAAATCTCTTTTAAAGACTTATCTTATCACCCAATGCATGGAACTGTGGCTGATCTACAGAGCTCCTTCAGTGACAGACCGCTGCATCCTAAATGCACAAAGGAGCGTTACCGCAGATCCTTCCTCCCAGCAGCTGTTAGACTCTATAACCATCACTGCTCCCAAAAAACTCCATAAGCATCCATGCTTGTGTTTGCAAATCAAACAACTCTATCTCAGTCACTATATAAATAATACTCTGTGACAATAGTACATTTTATTTCCAGTACTGGAACACTGACTTATTGACACAGTTCGACTCAAATGGCACATCCCTTCAGATCATGAGTCTGTCAGGACTGTTTTTCTTGTAATTTTTTCTTTTTCTGCACGGTATCTTGCTTTATTTGATATTATTTCATCTTTATAGCCTTGTACAGTAATAGTTTTATTATTATTATTTTAATTCTATTGTTATTGCTACTGTTGATAACGTCACATTTCAATATATTGTTTTGTGAATTGATGTATGCATCTGCTGCTACAGTTACACCTGAATTTCCCCTCAGACAATAAAGGCTGTTTCTATTGGATTCTATTTTGGGTTTGGTTTTTAAATTCAGAGAGCACATGCAGTTTCTCTCTCTCTCTCTCTCTTTAAATTATTTTTCAGTTTTTATTTTGAAAGAGGGAATTGTTTGAATGTTTTTATATTACTGTATACTTATTTTGCTGTGCAGGAATTTGGTTGCCTTGGGGTGTGTAAATTTTTATATAAATAAAAGTTTTAATTGACAATTTATTGATTTTAACCAAGCAACAGAAAAAATAAACATTCAAGTATTCATTTCTTTCATGTTGTTAATCATCACAATGTTTCTAAAACAGTAAAATAATCTGTTAAGGATTTAAAACAAATTAAGGAGATTATATAAGATTAAAAATGCAGGTGGTATAAATATTTATTAAATAAACTCCTGCTTTAACATGCAACAGGTCATAGAGCTGATTAAAGCAGTGGGATGGTTCTCACCTGAGCAAGTTTCATCATCATGTGAGCGAAAACGTGCAGGAAACCAACAACAGCGTCCCACAACCTGCTGTGGGCCAGAGACTGCTGGTTCCCTGTGCACGGACCCTGGATGTACTCAGTCAAGCTGTTGAACACCTGCTTGGCCACCGTCATGGCTTTGGAGAAGTTCCTCTTGCCAGGTTCGTCGATGATGTCCTTCCCTGAGTAGTACCAGTAAAAGTCACTGATGGACTCCTGCAGGAGGGCGAGGACAGAGGGGAGATACGGTAACTGCACGGTTCTTTTAAAGCTTTAGGTGTTTTATGAGCTCTGGAGGAAGTTCCAGGTCTTAGTAAGAGTTCACCTGCAGTCGGAGCAGGTAGTCCACGGTGCAGATGATGACGTTGATGGTGGTGGTGCTGCCTGTCTGAGTTCTCAGATAGTTCTGGAAATCTGAGCAGAGACACCAGAAATTTTATTTTTTATTTAAAATTTTTATTACCTTTTTATTTTGCAAAAAAGAGCCATAAGAATTATAGCCGGTAAAAATTATAATCAACCATCAAATGTATTGTTTCATCATTTAAAGTTATTAAAATTTCATGAGTTGGTTGATTACAGGACTTTGCTGATTATGTATAGGRCTCATAAAAAAGCATTACCTTCGAATATTCAATCTAATTTCATTAAGAGGCAAATTATGTATAACCTTAAAGGATTTGAAATGTTTGTTAAACCAAAAATGCAAACTAATTTAAAAGAGAGATGTACTTCAGTTCAGGGAATTAAGTGCTGGAACAACTTGGCTAGTGATTATAAAAACACTGGCTCAATTAAGTTATTTGGGAGAATGGTTAAATTTCATTTGTTGACAAAATATGAAAATGCATAATAAGCATTCATATGAGCTGTAGTTTGAATAATCGTAATCTTTCTTTATTTTTCCTTTTCTTTTCATTTTGCTGATCATTTTGTTAAGAAAACCTTATTTATGTACATGTATGTAGGGGTAATGTAATTTATACATCTTTATTTTTGTTAAAAAGGGGCAGAAGTTATAAGATTTTTTTCTTCTTTCTGCTCCTTTTCATTTAAAGGTATTGTGTTTGTGTTGTGTGGAATTTTTTGTTTTAATTAAACGAAATAAATTACTAAAATAAAAATAAATTGGTTCAAACACTTTGGACAGGACGTGGCGGTCCTGTTCGCCGCCCACTCACCGTTGTTGTGGCCCTCACACAGGAGCTGCAGGAAGCGGAAGAGGTCGCAGGTGAATTCATCGTCTGCCATCACTTTCTCATCTGGGCAGAGCAACAAAATGCAGGATTACATCAATCTGCTGACAGTTTGTCTGCAAATTACAGGTGAGCTCTGTTATTCTGTTAGATTACAGAACAGGGATTTAGATGTWTTAGAGAAATGTTTAAATCTTTTTAGTTTATTCTTTAAACGTTTCTTTTAACTCAGATGTTTTTCTTATACCTTCAACATCAATGGTCCTTTTTTCTGTTACCTTGAAGGAATATTATAATAAATGTAGTTTAACACTTCTTTATGTGGTGCTTTTGTTTTTATTACTTCATTGTCTTGGAGCTGCATGTTCATTTTTCTAACATGTTCAGCAGTAAAGTTATTTAATGCTAAAAATACAAGTCATTTGACGCCATGGTTGTGTGTGTGGTGGTGTGTTAGTGCACAGACTCTGGTTACAAAAGTACAACAAGGTGGCTCCAAGTCTGAATGAGAGAAGCTGAGGAAATTTAACTTAATAAAATATGTCAATAGATGCTATGTCTAATTAAAAAATGCATTTAAAAACTTTGGATTTGGACCAAAACAAAGTTATTTGTGCAACAAACAAACAGAGCACAGGGAAATATAAACAGAGACAGACAGACTGTCAGGCAAAGATACAGACAGGAAGACAGAAAAACAGAGAAACAGACAGACAAGCCGACAGAGAGACAGGAAGACAGACCAAGACAATCAGGCAAAGACAGACGGACAGACTGAGAGACATGAAGGACAGATCTACTGCACTCTGCAAACCTCAGTTATCTGATATTTTTGTACATTTTTGTTAACTCCTTTGAAAGAAAATATTGTTGTGTGTTGTTYGTTTACCTGTTTGTGTGCTTAAACATACAAAAAATGAACCAATGCATAGAAAAGATTAATAAATAGAAAAATGGAAATTGATTGGTCAACCGTAGCACAAAAACAGCTGCACCAATCAAAACGAAATTAGTCAGGACTGTAGATGAGTCTGACCTACACTGCGC